ACAGTCCTTCCTTTACTTTTGTAGGCTTTAACATTAACCAAGTTCTAATGTTTTATCATCTGATGAGCGTATCTTGATTTTGTTAAAGTTTCATGATCTAATTGGCTTAGATTTTTTTAAAGTTTTTATGTGAATTCCAATTAGTTAACATACAGTGGAATATTAGTTTCAGGTGTACAATATAGTGATTCAGCACGTCCGTACAACACCTGGTGCTCATCACGACAGCGCCCTCCTTAATCCCCATCACCCATTTCACCCATCCTCCCCCTCCCTCTGGTAACCATCAGTTTGTTCTCTCTAGTTAAGGGTCTGTTTCTTGGTTTGTCTCCCTCTTTTTTCTTTCCCTATGATCGTTTGTTTTGTTTCTTAAATTCCACATATGAATGCTAATTGGCTTAGATTTTAAATTCTCTTCAGCCCTCCTTGATTTCTGAGTGGGAGAGGTTCTCTAGTAGTTGCCTCACATGGAAGCTGTTTCACCCCTCAGTCATTTCATTATTCTTTACACGCATTCTTTTTTTTTTTTTTTTAAAGTAAGCTCTGTGCCCATTGTTGGGCTTGAACTCACAAGCCCCGTGACACTGAGATCAGGAGTTGCGTGCTATACCCACTTTACACTTACTCTTCTTGTCATGCCTGTGGGCCAGATGTGGAAACTTGCAGGTGACCCCTGGGTCTGAGTAATGGAGTCTTAATGGGCCCAAGCTTTCGGTGGATTGATGCCTGGCCTTTTGTCCCCAGCCACACCCTCCCCTGGGCTCAGTGAAATTGTTGCCATTGCTTAAGTGAGCTTAATGGGAAGGCATCTGTCACGGAGTCCCCTGGTTTTGTGTATAGACTTAGACCAAAAGTGAGAGTACTGCTTGAGAACAAGTTCCTTTACCTACAGGAAAAGTAAGCTCGAGTGGAATTTAGCAGGTGCCCTGAATATGTGTTTACTTGTGGCATGACAGGGAATTGATTCTATACTTACTATCAAAAGCAGCTTTTTTGGGGGCGCCTGGGTGGCTCAGTGGGTTAAGCCGCTGCCTTCGGCTCGGGTCATGATCTCAGGATCCTGGGATCGAGTCCCACATCGGGCTCTCTGCTCAGCAGGGAACCTGCTTCTCTCTCTCTCTCTCTCTCTCTCTCTCTGCCTACCTCTCTGTCTATGTGTTCTCTCTCTCTCAAAAAAAAAAAAAAAAAAATTTTTAAAAAAAAAAAAAAAAAAAAAGCAGCTTTTTGCATCAGGAAAAAAGACCAGTTCAGGGTTGTTGAAATTGTTAGCCGTTATAAGAAAGAGTTCTGTATATCTGAACAAGAATGAAGTTGAATTCTGTTCAGAATAATGTAGAAAGGACAGGTAGGAAATTTTACTAACAGGGTAAAAAAAGCTAAGTCTAGAAATGAGCAAGAATTTTTAAGTATGCGTGAAACTGGAACTATTAGAATTACTCTAACTAAAGACCTGGAATTTGACCCCAAAACATCATTTTGCTTGGTCTTGAAATTTGTTCTCTTTGTTCTGAATTTTTTAAAAAAATCTTTTTACAGAAGAAAGTATTGTCTTTTTTTTAATCTGGTAGGATTAGTGGCTCTATTGTCTCTGATTCTTTCTATTTCACCTATCCCATCTTCTGTTTCTAAAATATCCCACAAATAGTATTTCCTCTTCCAATATAGTCTGAACTCTGGCAGTATTCAGTATTTTGGAAGAGAACAGAATCTTCTCTCTTGCTTGTTTTAGAAACAGTCAGATACAAACAGAAAAGTGAGGCAATTTTAGCTATTCTGACTTGGCACCAATTCTTTGTTCTTTTGTACAGTGAAGAAAAGAGCCTTGCAGTAATTTGGTATTGGTACTACTTTTTTTTTTTTTTTAAAGTGAGGTAAAATTAGTACATAACATTTTCAAGTTTCAGGTGTACAGCATTGTAATTTGACATCTGTATTTGTTACAAAATGATCTTGTGGTTAACATCCATCACCATACATTTGACCCCTTTTCCCCACTTCGCCCATCTTCCATCCCCTTCCCTTCTGGTAACCTGTTCTTCCTGAGTTTGGTTGGTTGGCAGGTTGGTTTACAGTCCAAATGTGAGTGAAATCACAGCTTTTGTCTTTCTCTTTCTGATTTATTTCACTTGATACCCTCAAGGTCCACCCATGTTGTCACAAATAGCAAAATTTCAGGCACCTGGGTTGCTTGGTTGGGTGGCTGCCTTTTGCTCAGCACATGATCCTAGAGTCCTGGCATCGAGTCCTGCATCCAGCTCCTGGCTCTGTAGGGAGTCTGCTTCTACCTCTGACCTTCTTCCCTCTCATGCTCACTCACTTGCTCTCTCTCTCTCTCAAATAAATAAATGAAATCTTTTTTTTTTTAATGGCAAAATTTCTTTTTTTTTTTTAATGGCTGAGCAGTATTCCATTGTGCTTAGATACCATAATTTCCTTATCCATTCACCCATCAATGGCCATTTAGGTTGTTTCTGTATCTTGGCTATTATGAATAATGCTGCTATAAACATCAGGGTGCATATATTTTATCAAATTTAGTGTTCATATTCTCGAGAGGTGGAATGGCTGGATTTTATGGTCGTTCTTTTATTTATTTATTTTTTAAGTAAGTAATCTCTATGCACGGGGTGCCTGGGTGGCTCAGTTAGTTAAGCATCTGCCTTTGGCTCAGCTCATGATCCCAGGTTTCTGGGATTGAGCCCCACATCAGGCTCCTTGCTCAGTAGGGAGCCTGCTTCTCCCTCTCCCTCTGCCTGCTACTGCCCTTGCTTGTGCTCTGTCTCTCACACTCTCTCTCTGTCAAATAAAACAATATTTTTTTAAAGATTTTATTTATTTATTTGACAGAGATCACAAGTAGGCAGAGAACTGATCCAGGGGTGCTGGGATCTAGCCCAATATTGGGCTCCCTGCTCGGCGGGAAGCCTGCTTCTCCCTCTCCCACTTACCCTGCTTGTGTTCCTTCTCTCGTTGTGTCTCTGTCAAATAAAATCTTTAAAAAACAATAAAAAAATAATCTCTGTGCACAACATGGGGCTTAAACTCAGCCCCAAGATCAAGAGTCACATGCTTTACCAACTGAGCCAGCCAAGCACCCCTATGATAGTTCTTTTCTTAACTTTTTGAGGAACCTCCATACAGTTCCACAGTGGCTGCGCTAGAGTACATTTCCAGCAACAGTATCGGGGTTCATTTTCCTCCACATCCTCCCTAACACTTGTTATTTCTTGTCTTTTTGATGATAGCCAATCTAACTGGTGTGAGATGATATCTCATTGTGCTTTTGGTTTGCATTTCCTGATGATGAGTGACGTGGAACATCTTTTCATTTGCCTCTTGGCCGTCTGTATATCTTCTGTGGAAAAGTGTGTGTTCACATTCTCTGCCCATTTTTTTAATCAGGTTGTTTGGCAGTGGTCCTGCTTTTTCATGAAAAAGCCATGAGGCTTTTTCCATAGCTTTAATGTTAGGTTATGTTTTTACCAGCTTATTTCTGCTAAATGTGTATGTGTAGTAAATAATGCCCTTGGATTTTTAGTTTTTGGTTTGTTTTCCTATTTCTTCTTTTAGATAAGAGTTTTCATGAGCATTCACTTGTTCCTCCAGCTGGCCAATATATGAAACTTAGCAATGAGATCATCTTAGAGACACTTCTTTCCAATTAATTGGAAATAGAAAGTATTGGAAATATGCAGCCCAAAAAAGGAAAAAGCCAACTGTTTTATTCTCATTTTATGTCCTCTCTCAGTGACACTATGACAGCCCTAATCATCCTTTCTTTTCTCTTCTTTGTAGCATTACCAGGAATGTGACAAGGTTGAGGTATGTTGGAGCTGATTTGTATGCACGGGCCCGTTTCCCTTGCAAGTTGTTATTGCTCTTTGGTCTTTTTTCAGAGAAAGGACAAGCAGTCAGTTCCCCTTTCATCTCAGTGAGTGTTGGCATACAGGATGGCCACCAGTTTGAATAGTTCGATTTAAAACCATCAAGATATGGGTGCCTGCCTCGCTCAGTCAGTGGAGGGTACAACTCTTGATCTTAGGGTTACAGGTTCAAGTGCCACGTTACATGTAGAGATTACTTTAAAAAAATAAAACCTTTAGGGGCACCTGGGTGGCTCAGTCGGTTAAGCGGCTGCCTTCGGCTTGGGTCGTGATTCCATGGTCCTGGGATTGAGTCCCACATCGGGCTCCTTGCTTGGCAGGGAGTCTGCTTCTCCCTTTGCCCCTCCCCCTGCTTGTGCTCTCCCTTGTGCTCTGTCTTCTCTCTCTCTGACAAATGGATAAATAAAATCTTTAAAAAATAAAGAATAAAACCTTTTAAAAAATAACAATCATATCAAATTAAAAATAAAACCACCAAGATACCTGTCTTCTTTCATTTTGATTTCCAGGATTTAGGCTCTGGAAATGTACAGAAAGAAGTCACACCTTCCTTCGACCAAGTTATCAAGGAGGTAAGAGACTGATGATGTCCTGTGCTGTTTCCCTCACTCGCAATGTATGCAATGTGGCAGTTTGTGGAGTCAGGATCATCAGGCCCATGTGTTCAGCATTTATTCCAAATAAAATAGACCTTCAATTCAATTTGGGCTTTTCTACATGATACCATAAAAAGGAAAAAAAAAAGCATTGCTTTCTATTTGGATTAGATGCATTTCAAGGAAACTAATTTTGTCCACTCATTTCATGTGTGAAATTGAAGAGGTTTCTACTGAAAGTCTTCTAATAGAGGTGTAAACCTCTGGCACAATTGTGTTTAAGTAGTGACCTGCCCCTTCGTGTGTCAGATAACATCTATCAGGACACGCTTTTACAACGTTATTCTGACTTGGGATTGTTCCTCGTACCCATTTCCCGTTCCCTTCCTCTGTCATTGGAGTTTGTTTCGTGCCTGACTTAATATTTTTGGCTTTCAAAACCACTCTTTTCTTTCTTTTTTTTTTTTTTTTGACTTTTTTATCTTTTTTTTTTTTTTTTTTTTTTTTTTTTTTCACTCTTTTATTTCTTAGTCTTTACATTGTTTTATTGTGTTTAGTGAGATCACAGTCTTCTAGTGAATGCTGCCTTCTAAAACACATATTCCAAAAGAAGCAGGTCTAGATGTCAGATGAATCAGCTTTGTTTTTGGTAAATTTTCTACCTTTTTTTAAAAGTAGAGGTACGTGTATTAATATGTTTTGTGGTTTTTTTTTTTTAACTTGACTTCACCCATCCTGTGACACGGGCTCTTCTCAGGACTATCATTGGCGCAGGGGCGAGGGATATCTTAACTAGATGACCGAAGGTGATGTTTAAATGCACAGGTGAATAACGGACCTGCTGTCTTCACTACCTGCCTCCCCAGTGTTGTAATCTAATTTTCTCTGCCACTTCTTTACAGAGTCCTGGACAAGAAAGATAAACTAGGATAAATAGCGGCTCTAAGATACTGCACAGTTACAGGGTTGGGGTGGAAAAACTAGTCAGAGTTGCTCTGTTGGCACAGATTAAACAGAGCCCGACATTCGAATAATATAGATCACAGACTCTCTGAAATCACTCTCAGGGAGAAAGCAACTTAAAAATGGAAATACCAGGCCTTGTGGTTTTATCCCAGCTGGGTTAGTGTTTGCTAGCGAGCCTCTTAATCTTTGGATTGGTTGTTCCAATCTGTAAAATTGAGAAGATAACAGAAATCTGCTTTGCACGTCAGTTTTGAGAAGTAACCATAACAGAACACTGAAACCCAGGAGGAAAGGTAAGAGAGGATAACGGTGTATTACACTGTACCACATTCAGGGCAAGGGTGCTGTGCCGCCAACATTACTTCTCACAGGAATCCGAGTGTCGTCTGTTTAGGTTTCAGACGTGTGTGTTGATTGTTTCTAGACGACTCGAGAGATGATGGCCCGTTCTGCTGCTACCCTCATCACACATCCCTTCCACGGTAGGTTTACAGTTGGTGACTGAAATCTGATTTGTGACCCACCTTTCATAGCATGGGCTCTCCTGACCGCCTAGATAGGTTGATAGGGGAGTTCACTGAAGTACCTTGCATGCGTGTTCTTTGTTTGCCTGCTCCTTTTGGCATTTGTCCAGTTTATCCAGAGAGCAAAGTGTTTTTAGATGGAAAAACTTTCTTCTTTTTCAGGGCTATCAAAGTTTATCTCGACATAGTTTTAAAAATCTTTTCTCTGTTCTGCAGTGATTACTCTGAGATCTATGGTACAGTTCATTGGCAGAGAATCCAAGTACTGGTAAGTGTTTTCGTTTTCCCATATTCAGAGAGATCTTTCGAAGTGTTTTATATTTTAATGGTGCCTTAGAGTTTACAGAGCAAATTGAGAGATCATTTGTTCTGCACAAAAATGAACCAAAAAATGGTAAAATGGAAGACAATGGCCCAGGCAGGTTTAGGAACCTTTCCAGGATCTCAGAGTAAGTTGCAGAGCCACTGAAGCCAAAATTCACCCTGACTCCATGTGACTGCACCCTTGGGTAGTCCTATCTCCACTCCTGTCTCCAAATTCAGCTGTCTTTGCAGAGTGAGAGTGGCAGATAGGGAGGGTGGGGTATAAATTTCCTTGTCAAAAGTGATCATTGAACAGTTTTTTAATAGCTCCAAAATAATCTTCATGTATTTTTGCCTTTCCATCTTCTGTACCTAGTGGACTTTATGATTCCATAGTAACCATCTATCGTGAAGAGGGCATCCTAGGATTTTTTGCGTAAGTAAATTGTTGATTTACATGCGCAGTTATTTGTGGGGGTGGAAAGCTTTAATGAAAATCAGGACACGACTCATTGTTTAATCCTTGGAGAAAATGTACTCTCGGGGTTTACTTCCTGTGACACTCTGTTAAAGCCCCTCAGACTTAAATTCTGCTGTAAAGATCCCAGACTTTGCTTCTGGACATCTAAAACATTGGATATTAGGGTTTTGGTTTTTGTTTGGGGGTTTTTCATTTTGTTTTCAATTCTGTTAAAATTTTGTTAAATTCATTCCAAGTTTCTACCTTTATAAGTTCCTATTGTGCAGTAGATAAACTAGAGAAACTTAATTTTTGAAAAATAGGAAAATGATCTTCCTTATCCTGAGAGTAATACATTTTTGCAAGGCCGTATTCACTCCCTTGGGTTTCCTTTGGAAGAACTTAGACTACCACTCTCGTTCTTCTTTTAATAATGAAAACTAGAATGGTCCTCTTTTATTTTCAGAGTATTGCCATGTAACTGGGATTTTTTTGTTTGTTTTTTAGTTTTTTTTGGAGTATGATAGCCTGGGGGGGGGCCTGGCTCACTCAGCTGGTAGAGCATAGCTCTTGATCTCAGGGTCTTGAGTTCAAGCCCCATGTTGGGCATGGAGACTACTAAAAAAAAAAAGAAAGAAAGAATAAGTGAATAAGTAAATGGTCTAGGAGATAGGATAGCTATTAAATTCTTACTTTAGAAATTAGAAAAAGTTGGTGCTCTGGGAAGTTCATTTGCTCTGGTCACACAGCGGATAAGTGATGGACATGGCATTTGAACCCTGGTCTTCAGTCTGTGGGGTGATGTTCATCCTGCTGTGCTGTGCTGCATCACCTCAGCCGCTTAGGCCCTGGGAATCTGTTTTTTTGACGTCCCTCACCCATCTCTGTTTGAGCCATTCTCGTTTTGTAATTTTGTAGTCATTTTCGGCCCTGTCAGATCTGAATGTCAAGTAGCTTAGCCAAAGTGATATTTAAGTCTCTCCAAAACAGGCAGATTTTTGTCCCCCCTGCTCATAGTTCTTAATAGTTAGGTGAGCCCATTAGGTGAAGCTTTGAGGGCATATAGCTGGCCTGCATTTGTCAAATGGGAATGAAAGTCGTTGGAGATTAACCTCAAGTACAATTACATTAACTAGATTGAACTAGTCTGTACTAGGTTCCAGCATTTGTTGTCTTTTTTTTTTTAATTTTTTTTTTTATTTGACAGAGATAGAAATCACAAGTTGGCAGAAGTAGGCAGAGAGGCAGGCAGAGAGAGAGGGAGAAGCAGGCTCCCTGCTGAGCAGAGAGCCTGATGCGGGGCTTGATCCCAGGACCCCGAGATCATGACCTGAGCTGAAGGCAGAGGCTTAACCCACTGAGCCGCCCAGGCTCCCCATGTCTTTTCAGTTCTCTCGAAGACTTTGAAATCTTTCTTTGAGAAGTGTTTGTATTGAGTGGATTATCTTTTTACTGATCGCAGTTCTTGGCTCTTATTTTTCTTATTTCTTCATGTAGGGGTCTTATTCCCCGCCTCCTAGGTGACATCATTTCTTTGTGGCTCTGTAACTCACTGGCCTACCTCGTCAATACCTATGCACTGGACAGTGGGGTAGGTGTGATCTGGATAAGATGTGTTGGGGCTGACTTTATTGTATTCACTGGGAGGCTTGGTTAGCTTCACAGTAACGTCGTGGGGCCCCTGGCTGGCACAGACAGTGGAGCATGTGACTCTTAACCTCAGGGTCATGAGTTCAGACCCCAAGTTTAGGATGGAATCTATTTTAAAAAATGATAAAGTGGCACTTCATTATGTTTTTGCCAGACTCATTGTTACATGGCTAAGCACTGTGAGTCAAGTTTTGAAAGGCTAATGGGTTGACCTATACTATTTACCGTAGAAAGATGCACCTGAAAAAGTCCCTGGGGTATAGCCGAGTAAAGCCTAAGAAATCTGTCCCTGTCTCTGTGCTGCCGTGGCGGCCTCGGTATTGATAGATGATTTTTGCAGATACTATGAAGCAGGACATAGTGTACCAAGGGTTATTTCGTCCAATCTGAAACGTTAAAGGGATTCCTGGACTGGGCTTCTTAGGAACCTCAGCCTGGGAGGTTTTAAGAATTAGCCTTTCCTGGAAGCTGCGGGCCTCTCTGCACAGAGGCAGCCCCGTAGCATGGTGGAAAGTAGAACACACACAGGGAGGACTAAACCCACGCAGTGCGCTTCTGCAGTACGGAGGCTGGTCTCTGCAGCGTCTGGGACACAGCGGGGCGCACACAGAGGTAGTCACTTGTCCCTCGGATACACCATAAATGTTGTTTCCGGGGATTGGATTTCTAGGACGTGGGAAAAGGTTACCAGTCTCATTGCCTTTTTTTTTTTTTTTTTTTTTAATCCTGGGCCTATTATATTTGTTCTTCCGCCATCACATAGTCTCCTGCGAATTTGTCTCTTCATGTTGAATCAGGTTGATCATTTTGTCCCCTGCCTCTTTAGGCTCATAATCAGTATTTTATGTTTTCATCTTGAAATTAATTTTCTGGCTGTCAAACTAAAAATTTAGAGATAGAATAGATTGAGATGGTAGGAGACAATTCGCCCTTAACATCATCTTAATTTTCTTACTCGTTCTAATATAGACTTTTCTTCGTGTTTTAGGTTTCCACCATGAGTGAAATGAAGAGTTATTCCCAAGCTGTCACAGGAGTGAGTTTTTTAAAATCCTCTTGACCTAGGGATAGTTGTGTTTTGTTTCATTTTCTTTTTAATTTCACCTGGGTCATGTGTTATCACTGCTTTAAGGCAACGAGATGTCTCAAAGGAGAGTCTCAAGCTTGTTAACGTCTGTCAGAGGCGAGAATAACCCAGAGTCCCTGCGTCACAGGAGCGGCACTAACAAGCCCACATGGTTTGGTCTATTTGGCTTTCAGGGGGGTGGGAGGGACATGTGGGCGTTTCTCAGCACATCCTGGCCCGCAGGTCTCAGGCCTGCTTCCCCCTTCTGATCTGCCCCGGAGAGCTTCACCCTCTTGAGTCATGTGGCGTCTTCTCCCTCTTGAGTCCTGGTATTTGACTCCCGAAGTAGCTTCCATCGTCTTTAGAAGGACATGCATAATTTCTTACTATCTCAGGGATGTTTTGAAATGCTTCATTGTACTTAATGGCGTTTACTTTTTCTGTTAAATCATGTCCTTGAGTTTACTTGAAAGAAGACTCAATCGCAGTAAGAGAAGCCTTCTGGTCTTCAGTTAAACTGTTGGATAATGGGGATGTTAGGAGGAGGTATCCTGTTCAGGCTCAAAAACGCATAATTTCTTCTTTCCTGGGATGCTGAGAAAGCAAAACCAGCGTTGGAGTGTTGACCATAGTGGGAAGCAGAAGAAGAAGAGACTAAAGATTCAGAACAACCTAATAACTTAGCTGTCTTTTTACCACTTTACAGTTTTTTGCCAGTATGTTGACCTATCCCTTTGTGCTTGTCTCTAATCTCATGGCTGTCAACAACTGTGGGTAAGTGCCTCGCATTTCTTATCCCGTTCACCTGACAGGCAGAGCAGTCCAGGGAGAGATTTGGGGAAGAAAAGTACAGTTGATGCCATTACTAGATTTCCTGAATTTCTAACTCTCTCCGCTCCATGCACCAACAACGGTATTAGCTTATATTCTAAGCAGCCCCCTCATATCCTCTCTTAGAATAGAGAAGGGCGCAAAGACTGTTTCTCAAGTACTTATAGACAGTGTACGCTTGCCTGTGGTTTAAGTGGAATTGTGATCAAATTACTGGATTTCCACATCCTTCCCTGTTTTTCCTAGGGGCTGCATGGAGAAAGTAAGTTTTAAAGAAAGAAAAGTAGGAAATTCGGTTCCTAGAAATGTTCTTTTTTCTTTCTTTCATGGGAAGGTTCTTAACCTTTCACTGTATTGGTCGGGGAGGGTGGGTGGCGGTATGGCGTGAATACCGCTGATTGCCAGCTTCTAGATGCCAAGTGCCTGCACCACACTGAGCAGAAGTTTTGCCTCTTGCTTTAGTTCATTGTTCCAATATAGTCCCCGACACAGTGTGCCATTAGACCTGTCATGGTTTTCAAACCAGATGTCAAGCAAAGAGCCATGTGGAGTTTTAAACATAGTTGTCGTATTCCATATCCTGTCGTCTTCTGTTTGTTTTGTGTCTCAAGACCCTGAGATCAAGAGCTACATGCTCTAAAATTCCAAATTACCAATCACACCTGGGATTGGTAGGGCAGTGGCCACATTTTAGCTCAGAGCATACACAAAAGATGAGTTGAATGTATTATTATTCCTTACAGATTTTTATTTTTATTTTATTTTTTTTAATATTTATTAATTTGACAGAGAGATCACAAGTAGGCAGAGAGGCAGACAGTGAGGCGGGGGGGGGGGAAGCAGGCTCCCCACTGAGCAGAGAGCCCAACACGGGGCTCTATCCCAGGACCCCAGGATCATGACCTGAGCCGGAGGCAGAGGCTTAACCCACTGAGCCACCCAGGCGCCCCGTCCTTACAGATTTTTAGGGAGGAAGTGATTCTGGGTTCTACCTGAGTAAAGCATGTGGTCGCCAGTTTTTAGGTTCTTTTGAACACTTAGGTTTTGTTTTTTGTTTGTTTTTTAAGATTTTATTTTTTTATTTATCTGATAGACACAAAGAGAGCACAAGCAGGGGGAGCAGCAGAGGGAGAGGGAGTAGCAGACTTCTCTAGTAATCAGGGAGCCTGATGGCGGGGCTTGATCCCAGGACCCTAAGATCATGATCTGAGCCAAAGGCGGACATGTAACGGACTGAGACACCCAGGCGCCCCACCACTTAGTTTTTAAATCTCCTTTCTCTGTACTTTAATCACATAATTGCTATATTCTAGAATTATATTCATTCTCAAAAACCTGGGTGTTTTAGAAGATTCATAACTGGTTGAAGTTTGTGTTTACTTGTTTCAAAACCTAAATATGAGGGGTGCCTGCCTGGCTCAGTCGGGGAGCAGGCAACTCGATCTCAGGGTCGTGAGTTATAGCCCCACATTGGGTGTTGAGATTACTTTAAAAAAAAAAAAAAAAGACCTAAATATGAGGGAGGGAAATCCTTTTTGGATGCTTTTTCTTTTCCTGCTCCAGTATAATTTGTTCCATTGAAACTAAAATCACCTCTTGGGGAACTTTCTAGGTAGGAGAATATTTTGACCAAGATTTATCAAACTCTTGGGGTGCCTGGGTGGCTCAGTGGGTTGAAGCCTCTGCTTTCGGCTCAGGTCATGATCCCAGGGTCCTGGGATCAAGCCCCATATTGGGCTCTCTGCTCAGCGGGGAGCCTGCTTCCCTCCTCTCTCTCTTTGTCTACTTGTCAGCTCTCTCTGTCGGATAGATAAATAAAATCTTTAAAAAAAAAAAAAAAAGATTTATCAAACTCTTGAGAGAATGCTTTGGAAATGTTAATTTGAATGGCTTCCCCCCCCCGCCCCCCCCCCCCCCCCCCCCTTTTTTTTTTGTTCCGCGCCCCCCCCCCCCCCCCCCCCCCCCCGTTTCAGGCTTGCTGGTGGATGCCCTCCCTACTCCCCGGTATATACTTCTTGGATAGACTGCTGGTGCATGCTGCAAAAAGAGGTACTTCTGTCTCATTCTCTTTCTCTCTCACTCTCTGTCTCCATTCTTCCCTCCCTCCTCACCCCTCCTCTCTCTCATACTTTATTTTATTTTGTTTTTGTTTGTTTTCTTAAATAATGTCTCTGGAATCCCAGGTTAATTTTTGTAGGTTGCCCTTTAGTTACCAGTTATGTACCCTTTACACTGTTTTGTATGTCGCTGCAGCACAACAGTAAAGTGTGCTGCGTAGAAATATCAGGAGGGGTCATGAATTAAGAATCCCTAGATGTGACCAAGAATCCATTTGAGTGATCACATTCAAATTATAAATAAGGTCTGGGTAGATGATTATCTTGGGTGTTAAAACGATGGCCCCAATTTCAGATTCTTTTTTTCTAATGTCACCTCTTTTTTGTAACTTCTCAGGATCTCCTTATATATTCATGTGTTTTTCTCCAGTATAGTAGAGAGGAAACTGAGAAACGAGAGGTTGTTGATGACGTTCTTTGTCGTAGTGATGATAGTGGAGCTGGTCTCTTCTAGTCTTTTTAGAGAATGATTTTGTCCAGACTCCAGTTTCTTCTTTATTATTGCTGTGAGGTATGTCATCTGCAACCACAAATTCTCAGTCCAGGCAAAGCTTTGTTAGGAACCAAAATAATGGGTGGCTGTGCACTAAATTTAACACAGGATCACATTAAATGGCCATCAGTTTTAAGCTGTTTTGAAGTGGCACACACTTTTTCAAACATTGTAGAAGATAGTGTATGAGGACTCTCTTTATCACGTTATATCATAGCACTGGAAATGCCTGTGAGAAAGTCCTCCGTTCACAGAGCTCAGGCTTCCCCAGCCTGACCTCCAAAAGAAAAGGCCTAAGTGCTCCTGTAGTTGCCTTTACCCAGCACCCATGCCAGGCAAGCCCCTTTGATCAGGCTGGAACGCTTGGATGATTTCCATACAGACCTGATGTTGATATCCTGGGTTTCATTCTGAGTCTTACACTTTTACTGGGCAATCTCCTGTTGTGGTCACCATTTAAAAGGGAAGATAGACCTCCTTTCCCTACTTTCTAAGCCCTGCTGTAGGAAGGAAGCAGATAGAAAATGTATTAGGGTATCAGACACCTTACCTGGGGAGCAGTAAGTCCTCTAAGCGCTTAACACAACAAATCTTGATGGGGTATTTACTGTATATCAGGCATCACGCTGAGAGCCGCCTGTGTACCAGCTCCTGTAATCCTCAAAATAACCGTATGAGGATAGGTACCATTCTTTATCATCCCACTTCACATCTGAAGAGATTGGGACTTTGAACCATTCAGTAACGCTAATTGTATAACCCAGGGCTACCCAGCCTATATTTGTGGGAGCAGGATCTATGTGCAGTCTAAGTTCAGAGTCTGTTCAATTAAGCTTACAGCATTATTACTCTCGTAAGATTTTAGAAGTATTTCCTAAAGCTGTGACCATTCCACTGAAAAGTAAATAAAAGCTAGCCCTTCATGAGTGGTGGGACCATGTCAGCACCCTCTGTGTATTGACTCGTGATAACCTAGCTAGCAAGTGTCAGAGCCAGAATGCAAACTGTGAGTTCTTTGTAAGGAAGAGATCCTTGCCTTACACATGTGGCAACATCGTAGTTGGCTTCCAGAAAGCTCAGCTGGAGCCGGAAAGGCTCAGTCTCACCCTGGCCCTTTTAGTCACGTCTCCAGAAAAGTGTCCAGATGCATCTCTCTGCTGATTTGGACTAGCTGACCTCATGTTCACACTAGACTTTATTTGTTTTTATTTTATTTTTTTTTCCAGGGAAATATGAGCCGAGGAAATAGCTTGTTTTTCCGGAAGGTCCCCTTTGGGAAGACTTATTGTTGTGACCTGAGAATGTTAATTTGAAGATGTGGGGCAGGGACAGTGACATTTCTATAGTCCCAGATGCACAGAATTATGGGAGAGAATGTTGATTTCTATACAGTGTGGCGCGCTTTTTTAATAATCATTTAATCTTGGGAAAATGGAGGTGTTTGGTGTCTGCCTTTTTTGTTGTTTTTATCAGCACTACATTATTTACCCCTGATGTTCCCCCTTTAGTTATTCTGAAATGGGACATTTTTGCTCCAGACTCGTTCTTTGTAAATGGGGGTATTTTCTCAAAAGGTATAGTCAGGTTGTCATGTGATTTGAGTCTTAATTTTAAGGCTTTGTAAAACGTAGAATACATTCTCAAGAAGAAAGAAGTAATTCTATAAAATTTTAAGAAATGTAATAAGGTAAACTATATGGGAGGTTATGAATTACCTTTTCTTTAGTAGACCTTAAAACCTCAGCATCCGCCAGAATCTGCCTCCCAGTATGTGCTTCTAAGCACGTTTGATTAACCCGGTCTCTCATCCTTGAAAAAGACAATCCATTGCTAATGACCCTGGAAAATCTCCACACAGGCTATCTGCTTCTTCAGTAATAGATGATTGCCAACAACAACAAAAAAGGGAAAATTACAGAGAACAACCAGGATTTGGAAAGCAAGCCTATTGGCTTCTCCCCCGCACCACCATGAAAAGAAATTGTCATATAAAATATGAAAAGTGAATACTGCAGCAATAGCCCCTTCTCTAAGAGCTAAGTGTTTGCCAGTCCCTAAATTGTATCATTATACATTTCCATGTGTATATAATATTTTCCGTACAGATTATCATCTTAATAATCTTCTATTCAGTTTTTATTTTGTTTCTTTGTTGTTGTTGCTGAAGGTAAGTAGTTTGCTTTTCCTTCCTAGTGACGCCCTGGGAAAGTGTACTTAAAACTTCATACCTGATAATGCACACATAGGTCCACGGGGCGCTTAGGATACTGACCACCTCGCATGTCATACCCTCAGGCATGTTAGCATTCATAGGAAGAAAAAAAACATTTTAGAAGGAAATCATTTCAACTCAAGCATAAAGCTCCTATTTACTCAGGCCTTTTAAAGCAGGTTCAAATGCTCGAAGATGAGAAAGCATATGGTTTCCCTTAAATAATCCACTGGGATTTTGCCAAATGAGTAAGCACTTAATTTGCCGCTGCTCAGATTTCTCTATCAAAAGAGCAGCACCTATAATATCAGAGTGAGCTTGCAGGGGTCTCCTCCCTCCCTCAGGGTTTAGGAATACAGCCTGAAGCTCATGAGCAGCCTACCTTGAAATGTCTTTGATTGTCTCTTACTTTGTCTCAAAAAGTAATGTAAATTTTATATTCTATTCAATATTATCTGCATTTGTTTTAATATAAAAATGTTTTGCATTACCCACTTTTTTCCCCTCCAAAAAAATCTTCAGTAAAGATGATCCAGGAAAATGTGCCATGTTTATTATCCTGTGGCTTCCGTGCTCATACATACCGGCCTATACCTAGTCGAGAAGCTTCTTGGACTGGAAGAACCAGTCTGCCACCAGAGGGCACCATGGCTTCGATTTTTGCTGATGCAAGTTGGGCCATGCAGGATTTTAGGAAGGCCTGGAATTTTTCTAAGTGCTGTCCAGTCAGTCCGTCTGACTTCTTCCAAGCTACAGATCCAATAAGGGTACTCTACCAGTGGTCCTCCATGAACTTGTATAGGCTGTTAACATAATCAGACGTCTGAAGTTATTCAAGGGTGAAATACATGTAGGTACTCTTTAAGATCCACCTGCAAGAAATAATCCTGTGTAAGAACTTAGATAAGAATCATCTAGTAAGCTGCACCTGTGGAACTGGGCAAGTGGTTTGCCGTGGCAGTGCTGAGCTGAATTGCCAGGAACTGGTCCCCCCAGAGTGTGATGGTCATTGAAGCCTTGATTGAAGAAAAGAATCTGGGGGTTTCTTACAGCTTTTGGAGTGGCTGTAAAAATAGGGCATACAAGCAGCCTTAGGGTGAAAGAAACTTTAAACATAGCCCTCTATGGGGCTCCTGGGTGGCACCGTCGGTTAAGCCTCCGGCTCTTGATCTCAGGTGTTGATCTCAGGGTCAGGAGTTCGAGACCCGGGTTGGGCTTCACCCTGGGCATGGAGCGTGCATTAAAAAACAAAACACATAACCCTGTATTCCAGCTTCTTACTGAACCTAAACTCAACATTGGCTTTGCTATAATTTTCTACTCCAAAAATAGCCGCCTTTCCCTCTCTGCGTTGAGACTCTCCCTCTATGGTGAGACTGCATCCTCATGCCCTCTCTCTCTGACGTCTTAGTCCTCCCGACCGGATGAGGTCCGCCTTCAAACCCCGCTCCTCCATGGCTTGTAATTACAGTACAAACTCGTCTGACAAAGCGGAAACTGCACCTGTTACTCACTGCTAGGTTCAGGGCGTACACAGCAATGGCATTACTTCTTTCTGATCTGAAAATCTGTGGGGGTCAAAAAATCTTATTTAGCCTTTTAAACCAGGCCCACCAAACATCAGCCTTTCTGGGCTTTAGAGAAAAACTAGCCTGTCACATCACAGCCCATGCAGCTGGTCACTTTAAGATCCTGTGGCAGGTTAAGGGAGCAAGGAGAGAGAAAAACATTGGGAAGGAATGAAAGTAATGTCTGTCAAGCCTGTCATGTAAGTTTTAATTCTCAGAATCTTTGGTAGAGGAGGTATCCCTACTTCAGAAAGAAAGATAATTTAGGAATAAGGAAAATTAGTAATGCATTTAAAATTACATGGATGGGGCACCTGGGTGGTTCAGTGGGTTAAAGCCTCTGCCTTCGGCTCAGGCCATGATCCCAGGGTTCTGGGATCGAGCCCCACATCGGGCTCTCTGCTCGGCGGGGAGCCTGCTTCCCTCTCTCTCTCTCTGCCTGCCTCTCTGCCTACTTGTGATCTCTCTCTCTCTGTCGAATAAATAAAATCTTTAAAAAAACAAATAAAATTTACATAGATAATTCCGAGCTGGATTCACACTGGAGTCTTTCAAATCCAAGGTATGTTTTCTGTTTCGTGGAGGCTATGAAGTGCTGAGAAAAAAAGTAGTCAGTGAGCCAGATGATGAGTAATTCAGCCATCCAGGCAAAAAGGCCCTGCATTTTGATCAAAGCGGTGAAGTCAAAAAACATGCCACCCACAGAGTAGAGTAGAATGGTCTTAGGACAGACCTAGTTCTTGACTGCAGAGCGACAAACTGGTGAAATAGCCAAAAGTAGGAATGATCACCCATCGCTTTTCCCAACCATCCTGGTAGTTGATGCAGATGGAAAGCTGAGTTACTGTATGGTGAGGATTCCTAGGAGTACCTTCAGTCCACATGTGTGGACTCCCTACTACCCTGCGGGGTTCACGTTTCTTGAAAGTGATGAATGTGTCAGTTCCTCTCGTGGATTCTTCTAGAACATCCCTGCCTATTGAATGGGTTCATTCAGGCTGCCTCCCTTAGTGCCATAGTGATCTATATCTTTGGAGGTTTTTGTTCTTGTTTTTTAGATGTAGACAAAGATGTGTTTTCTCTCCTTTGCAGAGATTTTTAGGCTTACCTAAGGATGTCACATGCGACCTCTCATTTTACTTTTTCTCCCTCTATTGATCCCTCATCTTACTGTCTTTTCAGACAAGTGATCCAGAATCTTGCATTCTGGTTTTTGTACTAGAGGGAAAGTTGTGATTGAAAGATTCTTTTGTCACCAACCAAGAACTACCGTCTTTGGGAAAAACATCTTTGATGGTAACAGCGATTAATTTTGTAAGGCAACTGAGAGTGTTTTCCTTCCAGACACCTCTGTGCACATGAATCAGCTTCCTTATCTGTTTTCTGCCTAAAGCGATGTCTGGAGGAGGACCCCTAGCAGTGCTTGTGTTCAGTCTCCCCAGCAGGCCCTGCCAGTCTGCCATGATTGCATGGCTGGGAGACAGAATCTTGAAAAGCCCATTTTTCCTTAGTCTCATAAGTGGATTCCTCTGCAGCCCAGGCCCCAAATGTCCTGCCTGGGACCAATTAGGCAGATTTTGCATTAAAACCACAACTGTTCTGGAACCAACTTATCGCAGCCCTGACAAAGAATGTTTTCAGATAGATGCAGATCTGTACCATACACCAAACTCTGGGCGAAAATGGTGCTTCAGAGAGTGGCAAGGGCAAGAGGGAGAGAAACAGAAGTAGGACCAGGATGTGCTGGTCAAGATTCCTCACCGTCCAGAGAGGGAAAGCCATTCATGGAACAAGGCCTGTCCTCCCAAAGTCCACAGCCAGACGACGTGTGAGAAAGCTTTCCAGCAGCACCAGCTCCGGCCTGCCAAGGCAGCTGGGAGAACGACTCTTCTCTGGTAATGCCACATTTACATGGAAAAGCTATTCGGTATGGCAGTTTATTTCCAGAGTAGCCTAAGGAGTCGGAGGTTAGATAAGGACAAGAGAGAAAGTACCTACTTGCTTTCTATCCAGTCTGGGGCCCTGCCCTTCTGGCGTCAAAAAGACTGGAGAGAATGTGCTTTGGCTGGAAACGAATGAGGAGGATGAAAACGGAAAGAACAGAGCCGCACCTCACTTAAGACTGCTCACCTCCCACTGGAACGCAGTATCCTGCCTTTCCAACCCTCTCCCCAGGGGCCCACATTTAGGGTTTGTACATGCAGTGCTCCGTTATCAAGTGCACAACCTGCACACAGTCCTGTCTTGGGGGCCAGAGGGGACTGAAGGCATGTCCTCAATCCCGTCCCATGGTGCTGGCTGGGCAGCAAGGGAGGGGTGCAGCATGGCAAGGACATAAAAGCTAGGAATGTTGGGAGGATTAAATGGAACCATGTGTGGAACAGCAAAGCCTGGTCGGCTGAAACGGCCCTCCCCGAATCTCCGCGCTCACTGTGGTGGCTTGTCCAAGGCAGTGCGTGCCAGCAGAGGCTGAAAGGAAGCACCGTGGGACCCACCAGAGGGCATGCTCACATCCCTGCGGGGGAAACTCAGTGAAGACTTCATGAAAGAGTGGCATTTGAGTTGGTCTTTTAAGGACAGTGAGGATCCTGGGAGCAATTTCCAGCTCCGTCACTTAGCAGCCACATGAACTTGGGCAAGTTGCTTAATCGTTTGA